GCCGTGTTGCGTGACTGCCAACCTCCCTTCCCTATCAAGGGTTAAGGGTACTAGATCTCTTGCTATTACGAACTTTTCCATTGTCTTTCTTAGAATAACCAAAAGGCTAACAGTCTTGTAATTCCCCATGTCCCCTGTATTACCTTTTTTGAAAATTTGGACCACTGATGCCAGCCTCCACTCCTCTGGAACTTCACCCAATTCTCCACGAGGCCAAAAATGGAGGCTAACGGGTGCAAAGGTACCTCTGCCAGCACCCAAAGTACTCTTCGGTGTAACCCATCAGGGACCAGCTCCTTCTAACATCCAGTGCCCTGAGGATCTCCCTGACTTCTGAGGGTGGGGGACTCTAATCTGTTCCCCTAAACCTCTGGCCTCATCTGGTCCCACATGTAGATTTCCCCCAGCCTGCACTGGAGAGAACACAGAAGGAAAATAATCATTTAGCATCTATGCCTGTTCCCTCACATCAGTCACTGAATCGCCTTCTTCCTTATTAAGTGGACCCAGCACCTGTCTCCCCGTCCTCTTATTTATTTATTTTGGATTTATATCCTGCCTTTTTCCTACAAAGGGCTCAAGGCAGCTTACATCTCCTCCTCCATCTTATCCCCACAACAACAACCCTGTGAGGTAGGTTGGGCTGAGAGTCTGTGACTGGCCCAAAGTCACCCAATGTCAGTGCACATCCTCAGGTTCCCTGGATTTTGGGGATGCATCTCCCCTCCTTGTCTGCCACCCCTTCCTCCTCCCTTGCACACACCCCAAACCTTCCAGGGGTTTTTGCTTGTGGCTGGCTTGTGTTCCATCCACTGGGCAGAAAGGCCACTCAAGGCCCACGTTCTCCTGAAGGCTCTTCCTTTTGTGTTGTGCCAAGTCCTTTCATTCCATTCAACCCGGATGCTTCACTTTATGTTCCATGGTGAGGGCAAAACGGCTGCTTCACTCTCATGTGCCTCTAGCAAATTGCCTTTGTGATCCCCCACTCCCCAAAGTGTGCATGTTACAGAGAGGTTGCAAA